TTTTCCATAACGTGCAAGGAAAACTTTATCCTGGATGAGTATTACAGGAAGTTGGGGGGAATGCAGAAATTAAAAAAAAAACACAGAAATAATATCTATCTCTTATATTCGGGGCATGTAATAATTCACAAAGAGCTTTTACATATATTTTCAACTGAAAGGGCAGGTCAAGATTATTCAATCCAACTCAGCTGGAAAACAGACCTAAAAAGGTCAAGTGAATTACTTAAATTCATGAGATTGGTTAATATCATCCCTAAGAACCAAAGAAAAAGGAGAGGAAAGCAGGGGATACATTTTAAAGGAGCAACAAGTTTAAATTCAGGGAAAGATGGTTAGGTATTAAAGGGAGGTACATTTAGAAAGATGAACAGCACCTCCAATGCTTGGACCAAGAACAGGACATTCTTTTGAGTTTGGGTAGCTTGATATGAATTTCAGGCACCAGGAGGCTATGCACCTGTGTTGTCTAATTGGTAAACATGCTGCCCTGTAACACTTATAAAGACTCATGAAAAAAGTATGATAACTCAGAACAGAGAGCAGAAGATAAAGACGGCTGTGTCCCTGGGTTTTAGGAGCAAATGTCGGGACACTTGTGAGTGGCAATGTTAAATTTAGAAGGAGTTATGTGACTTCTGTAGCCCAGCACCTGTGTACAAACATATATAAATCATATATACATGAAACCATTGACAACTGGAAAGTACCCCCTGCCCTTCACACAATGTCCCATGTGGAGGAGACTGGCAAAAATGGTGAATTCTTGGTAGGCACCTGACATGAAGTGTGCTCCTAATTAAGCACATTACAACATTTATTGAGTGGATATTTGTATGCCCCCTGCCATGCCTACTGTTCAAGTTACATGGATTCACAAACTTCAGTTGCACCATTTGCCTATTTAGGATCCTGGTATTCAAGGATTTTCAAGATCTGCCTCTGAACTACTGGCCCAGCCTTAACTTCCAATTATCTCCAACATAAACCCAAGTGTTTGCACCCAATGCATCTGCTCTTGTTTCCTGAATATCCATGCATAGCTCTACTTCCTCACATTTGCAGATGCCGTTTACCTGACTTGGCACCAAATGAAAGCTCTGTTTACACTAGTAAATTTCTCTTCCTTTTACCTCTTTTTTTATTACAATATAATGGATATGCAACACTGTAAGTTTAAGGCATACAACATGTTGACTTGATATCCTTATATATCGAATTATCATTTGTCACATCACATAGTTATTTCCTTTTTGTGGTGAGAACATTTGAGATATAGTCACTTGTTCTCACTCATATGTGGAATCTAATGAACAAAATAAACTGATGAATAAAATAGATCCAGAGACATAGAAATATAGAAAAGACTGTCTAGTCTCAGAGGGAAGGCATGAGAGGGTGGGAAGGTGGGAAGAGATATAGCAAAGAACTTGTATGCATATAAGCTTAACCCATGGTCACTGATAATAAGGTGGTGAAGGCCTGAGGTGGAGGGCAAGGGTGTGCTAGAAGAGGTCAAATGGGGGAAAAATGGGAACATCTGTAATACTTTCAACAATAAAGATATTTTAAAAGATATAGTCACTTAGCAATTTTCAAGTGTATAATATAGTATTGTTAACTATAATCACAGTGCTGTGCATTTAATTCCCAGAACCTATTTACCTTCTTAACTGCAACTTTGTACCCTTTGACCAATATAGTCCAAATTTCCCCATGCTCCAGGCCCTAGTGACCAGCATCTACACTATTTGTACAAGTTTGGCTTTTTAATATTCCAAATCTAAGCAATATCATACAGTATTTGTCTTTCTCTGTCTGACAGACTTCAATTAGCATAATATCATATTGTTGCAAATAATAGTATTTATTCCCTTCTTTATCATGGCTGAATAATATTTGTGTGTGTATGTGTGTGTGATTGAGTGTGTGTGTGTGTGTGTGTGTGTGTGTGTGTGTGTGTGTGTGTGTAAGAGAGAGAAAAAGAGAGAGAGAGCTCCATAAGGTAAGAATAGGAAAAGAATGAATTTTGGTAGGGATTGCGTGGAATCTATAGACGGCTTTGGGTAATATGGGCATTTTAGCAATATGAATTCTTCCAATTCATGTCTGTTGAGATAGTGGTGGTTTGAGGCAATTTCCTATCCTGATAATCTTTTTACTATTTACCAAATTTTACCTTTGATATGCCTGTATGCATTGCTGAAGGGCAAATGTGTATTCAAGTAAATAAATAGCGAACCATGCCAGAAGTCGGTGTGCCTCTTCAAGAAAAAGGTCTCTACCTGGCCCCCAATGCCTTCTAAATTCATATTTCTTGTTTAGTATTTTCATTTGTGCATTGGCCCTTCCTTCTGATCCTGAACCCCTTCGCTAAGGTTGTGGCAGGAGAGGAAGGGAGAGAGATAGAGAGAGAAACACTGATCACTTACCACCCCTATGCGCCCAGACTGGGGATCAGTCCTGCAACCTAGGTGTGTGTCCTGACCAGGAATTGAACCAACAACACTTTGGTGTATTGGATGATGCTCCAACCAACTGAGCCACCTGGACACGGCCAAGTGTAATATTTTAAAGCTATAGTTTACCTTTGCATCATGAGTTCGGTGGTTTCTTGTTTTATGTTTAAAAATTCTAAACTTTATGCGAGGTTACTTCTGTTTTCCCTTCCTTCAATAATTAAAGTCCATGGGTGATAAGCACAAGTCTGGTGCTTATCACACATAGAGTCAATGACTCACTTTGTTTTTCTCACCAAGTAACAATTACTAGAATTCTCCTCTCATTTTTGGAGCCACTAATTCAATATTTGGTGTCTATCTGGTATAGTTTTTCTGAATTCATTTCCTGAATTTGTTCTCTAGCCTACCTAGATAGCTATGAATTAATTTCTAGATATTTAGAAGTAATGTGGAGTTTGTCCATTGTCCAAAACAGCACTTGAAGTCTACAGATTCACAAGTTCCCGCCTTATAGGGATCCTTTTGCCTCTGAGGCTTTTAATTCTCAGCTTTATGTTACAATCTACCACACAACAAGTGTCACTTCCACACTAGCAAACACTGGATACTCAAGAATGTGGTCCCAGAATCGAGATAGAAAAACACCAGGCTTCATGAAGGTGCTATGGTAGTAGTTTGGGCAACTACAAACCCAGTTTTCCTCTGCTGAGATTACAAAGGCTAGAAGAACCAGTTGCCTCAAACAGCTCAGAGTGTGGACACAGGTCTTCACCACAGACCACTGGCTGCTTAGCTCAGGCTCAGGGTCTGGGGGATGGGCTTTGATCAGCATGAGCACGTGACAGGGATGGTGCAGCAAAGGCCATGCTATGCTGCTGGAGAAGGAAGCAGCTGGCAGGTGCAGTCGCGTCAGCAGGTGCCTAACAGATCAGATCATCCTTCATCCACTGGCGTCAAATTCCTTGCAAGCCCACAGATTCTTCCAGAAATATCTAATGGGCACTTTCTAGAAGAGTGCAATTTTACAAAACCAGATTAAACCAGAGTCCATGGCATTTTATGTTAACACCATCAGTGGTCGATTTGTCTCCACAGTCTGGTCAGAGAAAGGTAAGCACAAAGGTAATAAATTGAAGGGAAAAAAAAGTGTGCAAGGCTTCTAGGCCTTTCTATTCAATAGGATTAATTTTTTTCAGTTGTTTACTCCTTTATTTTGAGCAGTGTGAGAAGTAACAGATAGAGTTTAGCTATGTAAGGAGAAATAAATCAAAGCAGTGATATTAATGGGATAAGAACAATTTCCAAAGATATAAAAAGGTCAACTCTTTTCAACTGAGGGTCAATAGCAAAGCATGCCACACCTGGACGTACAGAGTGCAATGGGGTGTGTGCAGTAGTTTCTTGAGTTGAAGAATTTGACAGGCAGCTGTGAAGTGGTCTGTATTGGAGGGTGATACTTGAAGGTCTGGGGTTCCAGCAATTTTGTGGGTAGAATCTCAGAGTAAGGACTTTTCTTTATTATTTTTTTATTGACACTCATACTTTGGTTGCTGCATCTACCCACGACTCCTGTGGAAGCTGGGGAGACAGGGATTCTGAAGTTGTCATGATTACAGCACTCAGTTAGCAAAATAGATATAGCACCCAGGACAGGAAAAAACAGTGAAGGGTTTGTCTTTCCTGCAGTTCAAATTGTAGGTTAAAAAAATGAGGCTATCATTTAAAAGAGATGGGGAAATAAGTTAAAGAAAAGACACCTCACAAAGATAAAGAGGAATCAATGGCATGGTTAAGAAACAGACTTTTCACTTATGGGAATAATCAAATAACATCACAAGCAAAAAGCCACATTCAAATAACATTTACCTGCATCCCAGGTCTGATAATAAACCAGAAGCAAAGCATAAGCAAATTCTGCAGATAGAAACATGAAAAATCAAAATTAAGCTAGGGTTAATTTGCATCCGTAGAGAGGTATTTTCTTGCATGAGACAATAGTGAAGCCAGGAATGTATTTTCTAGTTGGAAATTATTGCAGAGATTCTGGGTCTGTGTGCAGGAAGATACTTTGCAGTGGAAGAATGATACCCAACCAACTCACTGTTTTCTTCATGACCATCTATCTGCTCGAGTCCTTGACAATAATTGTGCAGAGCAGCTTAATTGTTGCGGTGCTGAGCAGAGAGTGGTGCAGGTAAAAAGGC